CCACATCTACGTGATCCCGGCCTTCACCTGGATTCTGACTCTCGCCATATTAGTCGCCCACACGGTCATCCAGCCAATCACCTCGCTGCTCACCCTGCTGAAAGGCATCCTGCTCATTGTCACGGTAACCTTTATTCAATTGTGTTTAATTATTATTTCAGGTTTCCTTCTTTATTGCTCATGAGTCATTTACCCACAAGGCTGTTAGGTGTTACATATGTAGTTGTTATCATCCACTTCTTAAATCACACAATACTTTGCCCTTACATTTTTATTTGGATATATTAATTATAGGGCTGTCAAGTTAACGCGTTAATAACGCGTTAACGCAAAAAAAAATTAACGCCACTAATTATTTTAACGCGATTAACGCATGTGTATTTTTTGTCCTCGGCCGCCGTAGTTTCAGAGCGCATCGAGTGTAAAATACCATCGACAAGCTGATGCTGACAGCCCCGCTCCTGCCGCCCGCTTGTGGCAGACCACACTTCCACGCTCACTGGCAGGCCCGGACTGGCCATCGGGAGGACCGGGAGGGAGTGTGTATGTGTGGCGCGACTCGCGCGAGCGAGGCACACCTTACGTTTTGTTGTTGTTAGCATCTGGTGCTAGCTAGCTGCGCTAACGGATATAAGGAGCTGTTTCAATGACATTTCGCCGACAACTGCGCCGAGCACTTGACTTTATGCAGGCAGCCAGACAGTGTGACTGACATTGTACGAAAAGTCAGCACACTCAGCACGGATAGTACGCGCAACATGATTGCAGCGTCCAGGCAGCTCCCATTCGAGCATATATGCCTTGAGCAGCTGCACATAGCTCCAACTATCCATCACAGTGTCTCCACACACACACACACACACACACACACACACACACACACACACACACACACACACACACACACACACACACACACACACACAGTATTATTGTATGAGAGAGGTTCCAGGTTGAATTGAGGCGAATATTTGTAATGTTCAGAGGTTGTTGTGTTTAATATTCATGAGAATATTTGTCATTGTTCAAATGATAATAAACAAACATATAAAGCATATTTGTCCACTCATATGTTGATAAGAGTATTAAAAACTTGAAAGATATCCCTCTAAGGTACATTTAGAACAGATAAAAAATGTGCGATTAATTTGCGATTAATCGCGATTAACTATGGACAATCATGCGATTAATCGCGATTAAATATTTTAATCGACTGACAGCCCTAATTAATTACAATAAATGGTTGTCTTTCTTTGACAGTCCTTAATGTACATATGGGCAGAATATTGGCTTGTTTACTGGGCTGACCTTCACTGGTCTTGAGTGGTCAGGCATGTTCAAGATTTGTAGGATTTTCTTCCATTTTGCTGAACCAAACTCACATTGGTCTTCCTCTACCAGCTTGATATGACGTTGTATTTACCCTTGACAGTGTTGCCCGCCATGTATTTAACATCATGTCAGGACATAAGGTTGAGAAAAGTGCACAAACTCCCAATATTTAAATACTTAAAAGTGAGTCATGTAATTGATTGGTATCTTAGCCTAATAGGCTTATCACTTTACATTTCTACTGACTTCCCTTTCTTTATAAAATATGAATAGCATAATACAAATAAAAATGCAATTATTTAGAATTTAAACACATACAGTATATCTTACATGTGGTGCACACTGTCATTGCTAGTGTACCCATTGGTGTTCATTTGTCTTAAAATGGGTCGAGGTCAGGCACATTTATCATTGTCCTGTAGTTGGTATTTTCCTAAAACACTTTCCTTTTGTCTTGCTTGAATCCCTTTCTTTGTGTTTTCCCGCCTTTTGTGATTGTCTGCTCTACCCTGACTCTGTCCAACTGCAGTGTGAGCAAATAGTGAGATAACACTAAAGAGAACGATAAAAACAAATGTACAATGATGCCCTCTTTTAAAATAACGACGACACACAACAATATTTTCTTAATGTGATGTTCTGCATCAGTGATATAGGTGGCCATGGGGGGGAATAATGTGAAGCATACAGATACTGCCATTGCAACTGCATGGCTTTCTTCAGTGGCATTAATGCAAAGTGGCGGCTCTACATGTTGACATTTAGAAAGTGTTCCCACAGATGAGAATCTGTAGCGATCATTGATTGACCATAAAATCACGCTATTTTCAAAGGAACTGAATGTTTGTAGTTGCCGATTAAAAGCTTGAAGATCTCCTATCATGCTATTTTTATGGACATATTATGGGTCTCAGATATATAAAAAATATATAAAAAACATGTCTAAGATGTGTTTTGCTCAAAATACCAAATAGATCACCCATTCTAGCTGTGCCTCATACCACTTTATTTCAGCACTGTTAGATAAGTGCCGATTCTGGGTCCTTAGCTTAAAAAAAAAAAAGATGGGTTTTGTTTTCTGACACTTTGTGACTTCCCTGACACACCGGGGACACATATTTATGTATAAAATACATCAAAAAGTGCATTTTGCATGATAAGAGACCTTTAAAATCTGAATGTAACCTGGAATGAAGAATGTCAGCTGCACAAATTGCCATTACGATCTAGCCAGGACAAAAGAGGTCAGGGTCAAGGGTCTACATGTCTCGCTGGACCTCTTTTCTGGCTTTTACATTCCTCAGTATCAAGAAAGCATAGTTTGTGCATTAATATCTAGAGGCAGCAGAAAGCCATTGTGCCATTAAACAACGGAAATCGTGTTTAATGTCAATGGCACAGTATTTTTCTGCTATTTAAAAAGTTATTCAGATAACTGGCATACCCTTTAGACGTTTCACACACAGTTCCCTCTCCTTAGTTAAATACAGTGTCGGCAGGCGATAATTCAAAATATTATGGAATATAATGAGGTAAGGCTCTTAGGCAAAGACACTCCACAGCGTCCCATAAGCTGAATCTGACACGGCAACTCCCCGTGAATCTACAGGAACAAACAGTAAGCTATCATAATCAGTAAACAGAATATAAAACATTTTATTAAAGGATAGTTATAGGGCTGTACCAAATAGTTGCAGACTCAAGGCCTTTTGTCTTCTAAAGTAAAGTAAATGGAAATCTTTCAGCAGTCTTCTCCGTAACCTTCACGCTTCACACTTTACAGGCTTTTCAGCTCCGTCTTTATTCACTTGCTAAAAGCGTATATCCTTCGGCCATTTCTGATGGATGTCATGTCGCCATGACTGCCGTGCTTTCGTGCCAGGTCATGCTGGCAGAATGGATGGAAGTGGCATTGTGGTGCTCAGTCAGCCCCCACTGTGGGTGGTAGTTTTGGGCCTTTTTCAGGTCAGTGCTCGCCAGCATCAGGGGGTGTCAGCAGCTCAGCGGGGGCTCTCGATAGAAGTCTTTCAACTCGGGCCACATTTAACAGCATCACATTCCACAAGGTTACACCGCCTTACAGTATTCTGCTGTGCCAACTCTTTGATTGACGCCTTCTTTCTGACACAACTTACACAATATTTCATCACAATAAGAAATGAAAGGTCATGTTCCATTTTCATTTTCAAGCCTAAGTTAATAAATTAACTACATATCAATCTTATTCGTACTTTTAGGAGGGATTTCCACCTCTATTTCTTACATATGAATCACTTTTAAAGCCAATATGAACAAGAGAAATAAAAAATAAAAAAGAAGTGCGAGACAGACGAGGCAGTACTACAGAAGAAGTAGTCCTAGTTTCTGATTAATAACCCGTCATATTACCTCTGGACAGAATATATGAATGTGTGTATTAAAGCAACAACTTCAATGTAGTGTTATATGGGGTGCACATAACTTTCTTAGTGAGTTACTCGGATGAGTACGAGGAGACAGTGTTTGGTACTCCAACTTGTGGCCCCACGTGAAGTTATGTGATGAAGCCCTCTGTGTTGCGAACGTCGACGGGCGGTGCTAGTGGAGCACTGCGAACTGCGAGCTGATTTTGCGCAGTTCACCAGTGTGTGCGTGGGGCACAGAATGTGCAGAGGGGAGTCTCCCTCCGCAGCCAGTTGGCGTAGTTTCGGCACAATTCCGTTTTACACACCGACGTTAACAGCAGCCCCGTCCGTGCACACGGGGACCGACTCTGTCGTCCCGTGATCTAAGCGCCTTCTGGAAAAGCTTCACAAGTCCGTCGGTACGCAAAGGCGCTTAGTGACACTTTACGCGTTTCAGATGTTTTCCGCGCATGCGTACCAGTTATGTGCACCCCTGGTTATATCAGTAAAAAGACAAAACAAATATTTTATTTAGTATGCCGCTTTGGGTCTTTCATAGCGAGTTGAACAAATACTTCTGCATGTTCTACAGTACTGTAATACTACATAGTACAAGTGTTTGTCCTCCACTTTAAAGTCATAACTGCGCTACAAATGAAGAATCTGCTCAAAGATTGTAGTTCAACCCTTTGATAAACTGGGAACTAACAGAGAAAGATGTTTTAACGTAATGACAGTTCTTTTCCACTTTCAAACCCATTTGGTAGGTTTTGGTATCAACCTACCAAAACAACATATGGAGGCTGGCCGACAACAATGTTTCTGACCCAAACCATGTTCTGAACAGTGAACATGAGTTGTTACCATCAAATCAGAAATACAGGGTCTTGCGATTAAATATGGTTAGACTGAGGCCTTCCTTTTCGCACTGGTCAATCATCAAATGAAATACAGAGTTGAATCCCAGGTCAAATGATCGTAACGTATTGTATTGTAACAAACTGTGCAAAGCCTATGTTTTGGACTATGACGCCTGCAATGCCTAGCATAATGTATTGAAGAAGTCATTTTGTAAGGAAATCGGCATTCAAAGATTTAATCATATCTAGGGATAGCTCAGTCTAGAACGCAAAAAAACAACTTTGGATAAGGTAAAATGTCTTCTACTTCAACTTTAAGTTTTAAAGTGCAATATCCTCTGCCTCTTTATGAACTAATACATCTAAGCCATTTATTAAGGAGCTTTAGACCACATGGTTTTCTTTGTGTATCAGTATATTAACTAAACCATACTGTAATTCTCTCAGTATTCATAAAACACAATTTCTTAACTAAAAAAAAAAGTCCCTAAAGGAAAATCATATGCAGCAATTTCTACTGATCGTGCTGCTCTTTGAGTTCTGCTGCT